TGAATCTGAATTTAATTATATAATTTCTCTACATATAAAATTAAAAATATCTTAATTTTGAATTATTTGAATATAAATTGACCATAATTTTCATTAATGAAGTAATACTTCTACCACGTACCACTTTAATGAAGGGTTTGATTTTAAGAAATTTATTATTTACATGCTCTATCATCATGATAAAATAGAAAGTAAAATACACTAACATCTCCTCAATTTTACCTTAATTACAAAGACAAACCTTTTATTTTTAAAACCTATATAAAACTTTCTTGAAATCCAAATGTACCTAACGCATACCTACCCTCTATTTTAAAGATTTTATTTCCATCCATTCAACCATTAATTAATCATTAAATCATATGTTTTAGATTAAAATACCCCTCTTTAATATAAATGTTGTTCAAGAGTCATTTACATTGCCAAATGATAATTTATAATATATAAGTTAAAAAAATAATATTAAATATAAATAAACTTATTTATATAGTATATAATTTTATGAATTACGAGCCATTTATAACTTATTTATATAATAATTTTTTAAATTTAAATTATATATAAGTTCACAAAAAAAATATTTCATAAATATGTGAATAAAAATTTATTAAATTAGAAATTTTCTTGGAAAAAAAAGTACTCAGGAATTTAATAAAATGAGCGATAAATTAATTAATATAATTTATATCACTGTTTATTAATTTTAATATTTTGTAAATTTTTATGAAAATATAATCACAATATTTTTAAAATTAGAGGAGAGAGGATGCATTAGATTTTGAGGCTAGATTAATAATTTTAATTTTTTTTACATATTTTAATTAACATAATAAAGTATTATAGAATCTTAAAGGGACTATACGGCATTAAGAAATAGATTAAAGTGTAAGTTTTGAAAATAAAGAGGAGTTCTCTATAGTTTTAACAAGCGTGAAGTGTCATTATAGCAGTTTACTCTAAAGTATATGTAAGAGATATCACCGCGGCTTAAACAAATTGTAGTCCTAGCCATGTCGGTTCAAAAGGAAAAGAATTATGAAATTGAGTCTAATTAATAAGATTTGAAAAAAAATTATAAGACTATAGCATTTAGTCTGTAGTTTATTTTTAATCCTAGATCACTGCAAGACTCAAAATAAATTAGAAGACATTATAAGAAATACCTAACTTTATTTATTATTATTATTATTATTAAAAAACATTAGAGGTCTTAATGAGGGGATGGATCCAACTCAGTTTTTCTTTTTCTTTTTTTTTTTTTGGATAAGCAACTCAGTTTTCCTCTGGTCCAAAGGTCATAGGTTGGGCAAACAGCTGTGTTCACCCTATGTTACAAAATTTTTGCAAAAATTACTTAGCTTTTACTTATAAAAAGAAATGTAAGAATTAATTATTACCACCTCTATTATGTAATTTTGCACTTGTCTTGATTCCTAATCAGGCGATTGCTGTGATCCGTACATGCGAATTAAAAAGCGTATTTCTTAATTATTTTATTTAATTTCTTAATCATGTACACATTACTTAGGTAATAAGTAGTTGATCATGACGGGAAATACTTGCTCCTCGGAAGTCATAGTCTAAAACTACATGCGTACGTGGCAAAGGATGGTGAGTCACTGATTTCATATTTTATTCAGATAAAAACAATAGGCTTAGCCTGTATGATTATATTCTCATTTTTTATTTTTGAAAATTGTCTTTTTAAAATTATTTTTTATTCCATTCAATTGTTTGATCCTCTAGAGGAAAAAAATGGAAGTTTTACCATCTTTTATCTAAACTAATTCAAACTCTCATGTTTTTGAAATTATTTAAAAAAAACAAAAAAATTTGTTCATTGTGTTAATTTAAAAATATATAATTTTTTTAAAAAATAAAAAATGAGAATAGTTTTGAAAACAATTAAATTCAAAACATTTATATAAAATACTCATTCTGTTTCTATTTGTAAGAGAAAAAATTATATTACACAATTTAAAAAATTAGTTAACTATATTAATTGTATTTAAAAATAAAATAATTAAACTATAATACCCTTCATTAATTATGTTAATCAAGTATTTATTAATTTTTTCTTATGACTATGAATGATAAAATTATAAAGGATAATTTAGAAAGTTTGCAATAAATACTTATATAAAAAAGTGATTTGCTTATATAAAAAAACAAGCTAAAAGTGATAGTTTTTCCTACAAATAGAAACAAAGGAAGTAAGTTTTAAAATTTTCTATTTTTAAAAATAAAAAATTATTTTTAAAAACAAAAACAAAACAAGCCCTTCATCTTTTTAAACTTTTTTCAATAATTCCTTTTTCAAGTTTAAGATATCAAACTGAAATTGGTTTTTTATACCCAACAAATAAAATTTGTTACTTTATTTTCTATAATAAAACATAAATAATTATAGGGTTAAAAGATAATTTTGCCCTTAAACTATCAACTCAAAGGCATTTGGAATCCTAATTTTTATCGTGTACTTTACTTATTAAAGTATCTTATAATTTGGGATAAAAAGAGTACCAAGTTTCTTATATACTACTCCCTCCATTCTTGCATATAATATGTTTTTTAGAAATTCTTTACCAAAAAAAAATTTTAGAAATTTATTTTGTCCATAAATATAAGGGGTGTCATGATATTTTTAAATAATTAGATAATTTTACCCTTTTCTTGAAAAATAAAGGAGATATTAATTTTGTACTTTACCTATTATGCTATGGTATTAATTGTGATATTATTAGGGATAAAACTAAAAAATTATTATAATTTTATGCAATTTCAACTAAATAAAAAGTTTTATTAGTTAAAAATACCTTATATAGAGAGATAGAGGGAGTACTTATTTGTAGTTTTTTGGGTTCTTTTTTTTCTAATTTTCTAGTATTAACTCTTATTAATAATGTAACTATTGTTCATACAATCTAAATCTAAATTAGAACGGTCAATGTGTGAGAAGATTTGAGTATTCACATATAATGTGTATATATGTATTAAATGATATTGATATTACACTAATTCCCGGCTTACATTGTCAATTTGGCAATTGATTGGTTGTATTTGTAAGGAAGGTTGCTTACATTTTTTAACCATAAGATAAGATAATTAATTTGAAGAACTTTGCTTTTTTTTTTTCTTTTTTGACCTAGGAAGAACCTTTTTTTCGCAAATTAATATTTAAAAATCAAGGAGAAAACACAAAAATTTTGCAATGCAACATGAAGATCGCCAAATGCATCCAAAAGCCGATTAAAAAGTGAATATAATAATTAATACATGAGCTTTACACTGAAAATTTTATAATTATAATGCAAGAACTATTCAATGTTATTGACGTAAAATATATTTTTATTGTATACCATAAACACCCAGAAAATATAAAAATCATGATCAAAAGTAGTTTTTTCTGTAACCATGAGTCACCCCTCACCACAAAAAGTTGTCATTAGTGACAATAAATGTCTTCAGATTGCCACTAGACTTTTTAAACATTTTTCCTTGTTGATAAACTAAAAAAGTTTGGTGCCATGACTTTTAGTGGCTGCCACAAAAGTCATTTTTTTATTATTGGATATATTAAAAAATAAAAAATTTAATAAAACATTGCGGCTAATTATTTTGTTATTATATTAGGATTCATGTTATCATTACTTCAGGAAAAAAAATATTTACTCTATCCTAAATTATAAAACATTTTTAAAAAAATTTTTTTATCTCAAAATATAAAATATTTTAGATAGATTAATATTACATTAAATGAACTAATTCTAATACTACTTTTTGTCTCTTTATAATTAATTTCTATCCATTTACTTTTTGATATATTAAATTATGGATATTTGTAAAATTTTATATTTTTTTTGAAAAGATAAAATTATTAAATGTATTTAATGATGTTTATTGATATGTGAGATTTTATTTAAAAATATTTTATAATTTGGATGAAGGGAGTATTACATGGGTGAATAAAATTAATTTTTTTTTAAGATTGGGAAGCAAGAATAAACGTGAAAATGTATAATACCCTTGTAATATGTGAAATGTTTGCTCATCTTGTTCATACCAAAAACGAAAGTGCTTCTTTTGTTAAACTTTTTTTAAAAAAAAAAATTTACACGTGGCAAAAGACCATAGCTCAGATGATAAAAGTGAGGTGAGATGTGGATAGAGGATAAACGGTTCAAATCCTTGTAGTGTATCGAAAAATGATTAGGGAGCGAAGAGGGATCTGAGTGTTAATTAACTGAATAAAGTGTGAAAAGGAGCAAATAATTTACGAGACCTAACTCCGTAATTAATTACTATTCCCTCCGGTCTTATTTATAAAACACCTTTTAAAAATAATTTTTAATTCAAAATATAAGATATCTTACAATAATTAAATTATTTTTTTCAATTCTACCTCTTCTTGATTAACGTAAAAGTTTTTAATATAGTTATATTATTATTTAAAGTTAAAGGTAAAAATAAAAATATATTTTATTTTTTTATAGTATTAAGAAAAAAAAACTAACTTTTTTTAAAATACTTAAAACGGTTAAAAATGTTTTATAATAATGATTAGAGGGAGTATAAATTATGATAAATCAAAATAGGACTAGCTTAAAATCATTTCATACAGGTCTATTAATAATAAATGTGATTAGGAATTCAGACTAATTAATTAAGCTATGGAAGAAACAGCGGGAACAGACAATTCACATTTATTGTACGAAACCCCCTAATTAACTTAATAACATAAACGTTGAAATTATCTAATTAACTCATTATATATATATATATATATAATCATTTCCATATGCACATGCACACATGCTGATCAATAAGAGTAATTAAGAAAGGAACGTATAATTAATCAAAGCTAATTAATTAGGCCATTTTATTAATAATCTTCCACGTTCGTGACTATAAATATACACAAATAAAATCTAAAAATTTTAATTATCTAAACATGAAAATAACAGATACACACACAGAAGAAAATTAGTTAGCTTGCATACCCGTAGCTCTCCCTGTTTAGTTTGTTTTGAATAACTTGAACTCTTCCTCGAACACCATGCACACTCACAATATTTAGATACACACTCACTCACATCTCTCCCTTCTCTCCCTAATTCGTATTTGAATATTAAAGCAGAGAGAGAGAGAGAGAGAGAGAGAGAGAGAGAGAGAGAGGAGCTAGTTCATCTGTCATGCGAGGGAATTGTATATATATAATTGGCTGCAAAGAAAATAAAGATGGTGGGCAGGTATTAATTAAATAAATCATATATATTAGATAATTGAAACATCCGTACTTAATTATTGTCTGACATCTTTACTGGTTTATTAGAAAATATATATTTTCTCTTTTAGATGTTGTCATTTAGTGAATATTAACTTTCTTACAAAGATTGATATCCACCGCCAAAGAGTTGTGATAAGCTTGCTAGCTAGCTGTAAATTAATAAAGCGTAGATAAATAATATATATTTTTCTGCCAACTAAAAGTTGACCTGAGTGATAAAAACTCTAGTTAATTAAACAATTGGTTAGAGGTTTGAGTCTTGCTCTTTAAATATGCAGTAATTCACTGCTTCTGATTTAATATATAAGTAGTTTTTAACAATAATCTATATATTAATAAAATTCATATTTTTATAAAAATATATATTGTTTTTCCTTTTTACCGTTAGTTTCAATCTATGGTGAGTAAGAAAAGAATACGAAATCACAGATACAAGAATTTAATTAATAAATATAAGGGGTAAAATGAGAATTTTTTTATACAAATACTAAGTTGTTTATACTTTAGACGATTAACCAAAAAAAAAATACTTATATTTTGGATTAGAATTAGGAGTTAGGAGAGGTCTATTTATTATTTTCAATATCTCGAAAGAGATATCCTCTCTTATTAACAAAGCCTACTTCTTATACTTATAAAAAATAAATATTTTTTTAATAATTTTTCTCTTCAAGTGGAAAAGTTAGTGATGTTGAGTTCAAATCTTACTACAAATATAAAAATCTTATTAATAAATAATTTATAATTACTTTTATAAATTTTCTTTAAGTTTGGAGATATATTTTGACTCTAATAAATTATTGATATTTCACTCAACTCAACTCAACTTTTTCAAAATCAATGAAAAGTTAGTGGTGTTGCGGTCTACGTAAGAATTCCATTATATGGAAGGCCCACGTTGCGAGTAGTAATGGAAAGAAATCAGAGAGCGAAAGGTAAGACTCACTTGCATAAGATCCACACACCAAAAAGTATGTGTCTTTATGAATTATTTATATGTGCGTTTCTTTCTCTTTGTTTGATTCACTTTTAAAAGGTCATGATATATGGAAATAATATTTCTTACGTGCAATCTGTCCTAATTTTTCCGCTTTCAATACATTAGTCTACTTCTACACACTTGCGCTTTGTTTTTCTACTTTTCATCATATAACAACTCCACGTGTACTCAAGTAGATCTCTCATATCGTACACACTCAGATGTGATGTGTGCGTGCAGTTGTTTCGTGTTATTCATGTACGCTTCTCCATTTTCAGTATTTCAATTAGAATTTGAGATTATTAAACCAAGAGAGGGCCCCAAAAAAGTGAGATTCACTGTAACTTAGGGACGAAAATAAACCAGACAACTTATCAAGGGCCAATAAAGTAGGGCTAGCTTACTTTAAACTTAACCTAACGTATTATTTAATAAATAGCCTAATATATTTACATATAAATTATTATAATGTATTTTTTTATTTTAAATTATAAAATATTTTTTAACAAAATATATCATACTAATAAAATTTATTAAATACATTTAACAACCTTATTTTTTAAAAATAATTAAGAATATAAATTTTAAAAATACTCTTTATTTAATTAAAAGGGATTTTTGCAAGTGCAGAAATCCCTTCTAATTAAACACCTCCACAGTGTTACTATCTACATGCATGTGGGTAATTTCTACACATGCACTTGTTTATTATCTCTTATACGACACTACGTGTAGTTGAGAATGTTTATTCACTAGCTTCCTCTCTAAATATGAGTTCATTATACATAAAGTTATGTTTTTTTTTAAAAAAAAAAACTCAAATCCCAGCTCGTTAATTAATTTCCATTAGTGGTGATCAAATATTGATTAATTAAATTAATTAATCCGAAAGCTGAATCACTATTCCAAGGATACTCTTGGCAAAAGATTAGGTTTATTTTTAAATATCATTATCATATCGTGTCATGATTATTAGTTTGAAGAAACGAGATTATGACCTATTCGTCGAGCCGTTCACAATCGTCTGTGCTTTTGATGAAGTTATTAGATCCTATAACACATGTAATTGATATAATTAAATATTAATTTACAATAATAAAATATTAATTAAATATATTAAAAGAACCTTACATGGTACTATGGTAGTATGAAAAAAGAGCTAGAGTGGGAAAAACATAATCAAAGATACACAAACACACTAACTTCTCTGATCCTTAATATAAGATGAAATTAATAAATTTTGCTCTTATTAAAAAATATTAGTTATAATCTAGAAATCTTAAAATTGTAAAACTTAAAATTTGTAACATTTCAAATTTACCATTTTTTGTAATTAATAACAATAATAAATTATTATTTAGGAATTCAAATGACAAACAATAAATAATGACTAAATTTCAAATAAAAAAGCATCAATTATTCTAATTTCATTCCGTATTTAGGATCAAAAAATACTTTCTAACTTCGTTTTATATTAAAAAGAGAAGATACATTTTGGCATTATCATCTCATCTGACATTTCTTTTATTATAGAAATTAAGTTAAATAAATAATAATCTATGATCATGAGCTTGTATAATAAATTAATAATATAGTGATGATAAGGTACATTACTTCTTTTTTTAAGAGGGAAATTATATTGACATAGTAAAACGAAATTCCAAAATCAAATGTTAAAGCTTAATAATAAAAAAAAAGTATATATGATGTACCAAATCAAAAGCCTCCGATTAATTTCACTTTCGCGTGGCAGCCACGACCTTTCTTGCTTTTGCCGTTTTACAAATCTTCCACAAAAATGTGGATTCTGCTGCATAGACTTACGTAACTCTAATTTTGAAAGGAAAAAAAATTATAAGCGTATTTTATATATTTAAATATTATGAGTTTAGAAAAAACTATGATATGTGATTTTTCTTCAAAAAAAAAAGTAATGTGATCCTAATTAATATTAATTAATATATAAATATATTAAATATAAAATTATAACAGATCACACTGCAAGGTTCATAAATTATTAATAAAATAATTTATTCTTCAGACTTTGTGGTGCGAGGAAGCCACTGATTAGTTTCAGCACAATGTGAATTCCAAAAAAAAAAAAAAGTTGCCAAACTATGTTATTGGACAATTTTGTAATTTTAAATTTTACTTTTAGAAAAAAAAAACACCCACACACACTTAATTGTTTCTTTTCCAAAACCATGGAGTCCACTAATTCTGTTGGCAATAAAGTAGGTTTTTAGTTCAAATTATATATTTCAACTTTGAATGTGTAGTAATTGATCAAATGTTGTGATCTTAGTAAAGATGATACAAGCAACTGCTTACCTCTAGTGGGGGCATTAATCTATATTCACTATATTCACAAATATAAATGAAAAGTACATTACAAAAAATTGGGGAAAAAAGGCGAACATTAGAAAGTCACGTTAACTTATTATTCTAGAGTCTTGAATTTGAATTCTAAAATATATATTCAGTCGCATAATAAAAATCACAAATTAAATGTATTCCTGAGATACCCGTAATGCCACTATTGATTATAACGACCATAGCATGGGTTTACATTAGTTTGGATGAATGATGTTAATACCTACAAGTTTCCCAATACACAAGGAGATGGAATGAAAAAAATAAATGGATGTAGAGGATCATGTAAAAGAATAACAATGGACATTCAAAATCTAACTTTTATAAGGTCATATTCTTTTGTATATTCTTTTTCTAAAATTTTAATTGAATGCATGGATAAAAGATGATCTAATTTAATGCAAATTCAGGTGTTGAGATTTGTTTTTGGCGGACATTTTGTGATTATGATTTCATCATTTTCCCCTTGATTTGAGTTATTAGATATTCATGAGTTAAGTATCATTTTTGTCCCTAAACTATGTGTGAAAGTTTACAAATGACCATAAACTTAATTAAGGATTAATTTTATCCCTCAACCTCAGAATTTTGCTTCCTTCGTGCCCTTACTGTTAATTATCCATTAGTGAGGCTCCTCTCTCTAGTCTACACTCTCTCCCTATCTCCTTAATCCTCCATCTCTTCTCCTTCTCTCCCCCTCCCCCCTCCCCCCTCTCTTCTTCATTTTCGCCATAACCGCTATAACATCCTGAACTTTTAATTTGGAAACTAATTGCTAATTAGGTATAAATTAATAAATTACTAATTAATTGAATAATCATGGTTTTGGAGGGTGAATTGACTTTTTGGGTTTATAATTGATTGTATGAATAAGATGAGTAGAAGAATGACAATCAGGAGTAGAGCGTATGAACTATAATGAGATTATTCTCATTGTGCCATGCATCACAACATACTTAGCAATGTGGCTCTGCTAGGGCAATTCAGGCACATAGGGGTTAGTTTTAACCTGTCACTTATGAGTAAATTTCATACATTCTTGCTTCCTATTCTACCATAATTTCTCTTAGTTTGGGATATAGAGAAAATGAATCGAGGAGTTTTGAGAGGGTTCTTTTTAGCTCAATAGTTATAAAAAAGCTATTAAGCTTTAAACTAAGATTTTGTAACTAGTTTGAAAATTAATAATTAAGCTTTGAAGTTATAGGCTCAATTTAGCCTTAATTGATAATTTGTAAATGATAAAAATGCTTGTGAGAATTAAAGAGGTTAATGAAGCTATAGAAGCCATGAGGAAAATGAATTGGAGTAAAAGTTCTTAAATGAAAGTGATTAAGTAGATAATTGTGATTAATTATATTAATTAGTACTTATAGTCAATTAGTAATTGACTTATAGTGCTAAATTGTGTAGATTAATGTGCTCACGTGTGTGACTTGAGTTATTAGTGGAAGCTAGCAACTTGAACAGTATCACAAGTAACTCTTTCTAGAAACAGAAAGA